AGCTACAAGTTTTCACCTGTCCAGGATATGTGGGTAGTGGGGACAGTGGTCACACACTTTCTTGTGTCTGTAGGTCATCTTTCTAGAGACAACTCCCCTACGGAACGTACTAGCCCAACTTTTCCAACGTCCAGGGGCCACTTCAGCAATATACCACCTCTCAGAAGCAGAAGCAATAAGCATCTTGCGTGGGGAGTGACACCAAGGACAAAAACCGTACGGAGATACAGAATCCGCACCAGAAATCAGAAGAGGCAGGCAGCTTCGGAATCGCAGGCTGACCTGTAAGACCCACAGCATAGTGACAACAGCTATAAAGCTGGAGCCTGGGCCTTGTGAGATTCCCCAGCTCGTCTCCACAGCCAGCCAAGCCCAGCCAGGCTAAGCCATCACCTTACCTGCGAAAGGAACCGGGGCGTCTTTGTCCAGGGCTACCAGCGGTGGGTCCAAAATGACTGTGTCATTGTTCTCAGTAATGACTCCATGATACGATGTCTCGATCCATGGCTTGTGCTTGTTGACTATGGGGGGGAAAAAAAAGATTGACATTTAAGATCGTCATTTGAATAACAAATCCATAATAATAATATTAATATTGTATATTTATCCAATCGTAGGCTCTCATTCAACCACCATAGAGCATGTGAAGTCTCATTTTATAGCCAAGGAGGCTCCAGAGAATTAAAGAGAGAGGGGCGACAGCTCACTCCAGGCACACTGAAAGTAAGGCCAGCACCGAGACACAAACACGGGTTGTGGCTGTAAAAGGTCATGGACCGTTTACCTTACCACAACCCCATTATTTCTATTTCTGGATGCCCCGTATAGATATTGTCAAAAATGGATTAAAAGCTTTCATTCTCAAAAACTACCATCTATTAATAGATGTTTCAGAGTTTAAGTCCATGATCAATCAACAGACTAACAGATTATGGCTGTGTGCTAGGATTTCTAACCTTATTTCTGACTTAAGCCTAATATGATCCACAATTAGAAACTGGTACTGCATCCCATATACATACATGTACATGTAAGTACCAACATATCAGTAAAGATATAACAAACATTTGAATATTTCCTGATCACTTACTGGTTGAATTGTGTCCCCCAAAACATAGGTTGGGGTCCTAACCTCCAGTACCTTGAAATATGACTTATTTGGAAATAGGGTCTTTATGGAGGTAATCAAGTTACAATGAGGCCATTAGGGCAGGACCTAATCTAAAATGACTGGTGTCCTTATAAAAAGGGAAAATTTCAACACAGGGACAAGACATGAGCATAAGGAGAACGCCATGGGAAGACTGGAGTTGTGCTGTCACAAGCCAAGAAACCACCAGCAGCCAGGAGAGAGCATTCTGAGCAAGTATGGCCCTGCTGACAACCTGATTTCAGACTTCTGGCCTCTAGAACTGTGAGACAATACATTTCCGTTTTTCTCAGCCACCTCGTCTGTGGTACTTTGTTAAGGCAGCCCTAGAAAATGAATACAAGATACTTATAGTCAACAGTGGCTAATAAAGGGTACAGAATTACAGTGGGACGTGTCCTTATGGGTGTACTATTTCTGTGTGAGAATCTTAACTGATGAATATTCCATTTCTGCCAATTCCATCGCCTTGATTTGGTGCTGGCCCCACTGTCTTCTATCCAGATAGCAGCCATGACTGGTCTTCCAGTAAGAAGTCTTGCCCCACCCTAATTCACCCTCCACACTGGCATGCTGAGTGAACTTTCTAAAATATTCATCGGTTTACTCAGCTGTGAGTGCCTCGGTTTGACCTTTTATTCCCCACGTAACCGCAGGTGCAGGGACCTATGCCTTGCTATTCTCAGGTACTTTGGAAACAAAATGACAGGTTAGAGGGAGCTCTAGAATAATCAAAGGATAGGATCCTGATGCCAAGCCTCACCCTGCTTCACAGTTTAAAAGTGTCATCACACACATAATGCTCCACACGACGACCCGAGAGGTGGATGTGATTATTATAAAGCAATGAAGACACTACTTCCACAGGTGTGACTTTCCAAGATGACCACAGCATTAATAACTAATAGTTGAGAAAATCAAAAACTCTTCCATTCTTCATATCCAAAAAGCACGCGCGCACACACACACAAACACACACACACACACACACACACACACTCATATTATATGTTATACACATTCTAATATATAATACCCATTATAATATATATACATGTTTTATTACATATTTTTTTCAGTAAACATGGCTAAGCAAGAGCTTCTAGATTTGAGAACAGCCTCACTGCAATGGCTCCTGTGCCCTTAACCCGAGCCACCTTTTTGCTCCTTCCCACCGATTCCACAGCAATTATGAACTAACCCAGAGGTAGTTTAGTGGGGCAGGGACCTATGCCTGGCTATTCTCAAGTCTTGTCCCCTGATGTCCATTTCTGCTGATTGAATCATTCCCAGGGCAGACAGCAGCTCTGTCTATGGCAGGTCTGAAAGGGGCCGCATACTCATCCATGCTCACTTGTTGGTATTTAATCCAGTGCTTCATTATGGACCCAAAATAATGACAGCCACCTGGGCTGTCCCCACACTCCTCTGCTCTTTTATTAGCCATCACCACAAATGCAATGTAAATAATTTGCAGCTGTTGAAGGAAATAAGCTTTTTTCCCCTTTCATTAAAGCTACGGGCCTATTCATTAGAAATGTGGCCAGAGGATGTGCCAGGAGCTCACCCAGCGTTTCAGATTCATTGCGCCACTTGGCTCAGTGGCAGACCACAGAATCCAGTCACAGTTGCGGGGTTTCAGCCACGGCTTAGCCACTTCAGGGCTGGTCCTTTGCAAACCAGTTGGCCACAAAGACTTTTTACTCTCTCACCTGCAAAATGGGGACTATAACACCACTCACAGGGTTGTCGTGTCATTCAGATGGGCTGGGCACACACTCTAATGTCCACCAGCCTGCTCTCTGGGCGGTGACAGTGTCTGCAGGAGAGGTGATTAGAGACCTTAAAGTTGAGGTTCTGCTCCCTCTTAGTGGGAACGGGCTTCTTTCCTTCTATCTACAGGCCTGCCTCTCTTTGCTCCTATCACTACTACAGCTATTTGAATGCCTATCATATATTAGACATTTTACAAACAGTCATTAATCCTCACAACAACTTTATTAGTATCTCATTTTGCAGATAGGAACTGAGGCTCAGAAGGGTTTAAATGTTCCCATTTTGGAAAATATGAATGTTAACATCCCTAAAATGTTCTCATTTCTTTCCCACTTTATTTATATATATTTTTAAATCCTCACATAAGGACATACATGTTTTTTATCCTCACCGAGGATATGTTTTTATTGATTTTAAAGAGAGAGGAAGGGAGAGGTGGGGAGAGAGAAACATCGATTGGCTGCCTCTTGTACATGCCCTGACCTGGGATGGAACCTATAAATCCAATCCTCAGGATTGCAAAACCAATAGCTTAAATTTACATTATTTTGACTATGAAGATATCATAGATGGCTGAGCCAAGTATTTTGCAAGCATTACTTTTCCTTCTTACTGGTCCAACAGTTGTTCCAAGGACAACGTTCCCTGTAACCAGACCAACTGGATTCTTGATTCTTTTGCTCCATCAGATGAACAAATCACACTCCATTTGAACTTGCATTATATATAAAACCAGCCTCTTTTGCATATTATTTTGTTTTCTGAACCTCATGTCTCTTTATTGCTACTGAGTTATGAAACACAGAATTTCTTCCCCACATCCCAACCATATAGCTTTCTAATCATTCCATCTATTACTCATTCTTCATTTTAAAAATGGAGATAATTACTTCATAGGAATGTTATAAAAATTACATGTAATCATTTATGCAAATGAAGTACCCCCAGACCAATAGGCATTCAAATTCTCTCATGTCCCCTAGCTCATCTCATGCTTCTGAGTAGCTCAAGTGTGGCCTTGCACTCTCCGAGGTATTTAGCCCAGCTTCATTCATTCAACAAGTATTTATGGAGGTGCCTCAAATATGTAAAGACAGTTTAAGTGTTGGGAGTAACATGGGGGAAAGTCCCTGAAAAAACATGTGATAAAATTTAACATCTATTCATAATTAAAACTACTGGAAAATAAGGAATAGAAGGGAACTTCCTCAGTCGGATAAAGAACGTTTATGAAAATCTGTAGCAAACATCATGCTTAATGGTTAAAGAGTGAAAGCTTTCTTCCCAGAAGCAAGAAGAATACAAGCATGCCCACTCTTATCTTGTGGTATACTACTCACATTGGACTAAAAGTTCTAACTCGTGCAATAAGGTAAGAAAAATCAGGCTGGAAATTAAAATGGTTTTTAGTTGCAGAGAACATGATCAGCAATGAAGGAAATTCTATGAAATCTCCTAAAATGCTACTAGAACTAGAGAGTAAGTTTAAGAAGGTCACAGTATAAAAAGTTAATCAGTTGTATTAAAATTCACTAGCAGCGAACAATTGAAAATTTACATTAATACTAATGTGATAGCATAAAAAACATGAAACACTTCAGAATAACTTTCACCAAATACAAGATCGGTACAATGAAAACTCTAAAACATTGCAGAGAGAATTTAAAGACGATCTGGAACAGTCTTAATGAAGTGTTCATGATTTGGAAGATTCAAATAGGTAAGATGTAAATGTTCCCATAATTGAGCTATAGGGTCAATGCAAATCAAAATAAAAGTAGAATTTTGTTAAGGAATAAACTACTTTTATTTTTTAATGGAAATTAAAAAGACTTGCTATCACCAAAACAATTTTTAAAATGAAGAGCAAAGTTGGAGGTCTTACACTACCTGATTTTAAGAGTTATTATAATGCTACCCTAATGAAGAGAGTTTGCTATTGACATGAAGATGGACTTATAATAAAAAGAAGGAATACAGAGTGAAGAAACAGACACACATACATAATGGCCAATTGATTTCTGACAAAGTTTCCAAGATAATTCAATGGAGGAAAAGGATGGTCTTGCCATTAAATGCTGCTGGAAAAATGAGACTGATATCCAAAATTACTTTTTTTCAATCCTACTGCACAATCATATACAGAAATCAGCTCTACATGGATTTTGGTCCTAAACACAGGAATTAAAATGATAAAAGAAAGCATAGGAAAAAAATATTAATACCTTGGGTGAGGCAAAGATTTGAAGGGGCAAAATAAGCGTGAACCATAAAAGATAAAATTGATACCTAAAAATTATAAATATCTAATTTTTGAAAAACACACTTAGAAAATATTGTTAAAACCACAGACTGGAAGAAAATATTTGCAAAACATAACTCATAAAGGATTTTTACCCATACATATAAAGAACTCTTGCAGCTCAATAATAAGACAAATAATCTGTCTAAAATGGCAAAAAAAAATGAGCAGACCTGTCACCAAAGTAAATATATGAACAGCAAATAAGAACAAGAATAATGCTCAACATTAATCGTCTTCAAGGATATGCAAACCCACAATGGGATAACAGCACCCCTCCGCTGAATGGTTAA